GGGGTCTTTTGCTTAAGCCACTGACCTGGTAAGGGCAAAGACCCTAACTTAAGTTAGCTAATAAACTGTCCTATTGCATTTGCATTGTCATGGGTTGGCATATTCTTCTCTTCCGAAATTCTCCTTTACAGCCTGGGTACAACAATAACATGTTTGCACATACGTAGTGTTTTGATTAGAGAGAGAGAATGTTTATGAAGCAAGAGATAATGTTGAAATTATAAATTGTGTAGCATTTGTAATTAAATTATAAATTTAAATTTATAATTTAAGCACTAAATTTAAATTTAAGCATTGAAAATATTTGTTTAAATCTTCATATTCTTACTCATATATTTATCCATGCGAAGTATCTTGGATTGGCTAATGAATTTTCAAAAATTATAATACATATCTCATATCATTTAATAAAATATAAATGATTTTGATAAAATAATTTTTGTACTGCAGAGTTGTTTTGTCCCATTAACATAGTTGCAATACTATGCAGATGTTAACTGGAGGAAGATTTCCACATAGTGTTTTAAACTAAACACAATTTGTTAAAAGTCAAAGGTCAAAAATCTGCCCTGTTCCTAACAGAGCAAACAGAGGACATGAAATCCCCCACACAATGTATCATTTGTAACTTCAAAACCAATGCTTGCTTCATGAACATTCTTCTTGTTTCTAATGAAAACCTATCAAAAATTTAGCAATTCTTTTCTTATTCTTTTAAAATGAACAAAATAGTTCAAGTTGATGAAAGCTACCATCATAGAGCCCCATTTATATAGAATATGACTCCCATCTACTTGGGGTCAAATTTTTTACATTCAAAAGACATGTGTGACAGTCTTTTCTCACAGAAGAATGCTTTTCCACAATTTATCAAACTTCACCATACTTGCGTATGTGAGCACATCTGTTATACACAGTGGGGGCTAAACAAGATGAAGGGGATGTCAGATAAAAATGATTATTCCTGATCTCATGTAAAATGTATGTATTTTACTCAAGTTAAAGAAGTAAATTTTTTAAAAAATGCCTAGAGGTCACTATAAAAGAACAAAGCAAGAAATGTCTCTAAAATTCTTTTTCCATATGACTTATTTTATGTGATGCTTATTTTAAAATACTCAAGACATACTATTGCTGAAACTGAGTAAAGTAAAAACTATTTCCCCCACCCTGGCGCTGGGATGGGAATAGATAAGTAAACTAAATCACCCCAACTATTTTCCCACCCCCAACAGATGAGTATTCAGTTCCTTAAAGAACTGAATGGAAAACATTCCTTCCTGCAGATGATAGACTGCTAAAAGTATCTTAGAAACAACTTGTAAATTAACTCTGGCCTGGGGACTTGTGCAATAGGACAAAAAGGAACAAAAAGGTTAATTGTGGACCCTCTCCCCTCTGACCAAGCCCCTATCAGATAATAACAGGAAGCTAGTGTGATTCATCCATTTCACGTTCACGTCCCAAATTCCTCAACCTTTTGTGAATATACATAACCCCCTCTCCTGAAACCTACAAAGGATGTGTTTTGATGGCATCTGGGAGAGTAAAATCTGGGTATTGAACTACCCCTACTCTTTGCATTGCCACTTTGCAATAAATAATTTTCTCTCCTCTCAATCTCAGTGTGTAAACTGTTTTGGCCTGATTGCACACTGGGCAGGCACCCATTTGGTCCAATAACATTGCAACCTCATTTGATATTGAAAAATAAACACATAGAATTCAAAAATATTCAAGAGACTTTAAAAAAAAAGCTATGCTTAGTGATAAATAACAATAATTTATCATAATGCTGCTTATTGGTCCAGTTGTGAGGATTTTCATTTTCTTTATGTTGAGGTGTAATCCATATGCAGACTCTAGTCTTTTATCTTTGTCAGTAAGTGCTTCAAATCATCTTCATTTTCAGCAAGCAATGTTGTGTTGTCTGCATATTGCAGATTGTGAATAAGTCTTCTTCCAATCCTGATGCTACATTCTTCTTCATATAGTTCAGCTTCCCAGATTATTTAATCAGCATACAAATTGCCTAAGTATGGTGAAAGGATAAAATCCTAATACACACCTGCCCTGATTTTAAACCATTGAGGATCCCCTTATTGTGTTTAAATGACTGCCTCTTCATCTATGTACAGTGTTCTGGTTGTGGGGCCTGAGTCCTAAGGAATGTGAGGCTTGAGTCCTAAGGAATGTGAGGCCTGAGTCCTAATGGCCTCCAGGTAATGGCCCCCAGGTAATTCTTTAACCAGAAGTCTTTAGTACCAGGGATTCTAACATGTCCCCCATGTCTCAGGGCTTTATCTCCCCTCTGGATTCCAGCACGTCCCCCACGTCTCAAGGCTTTACCTTAAACCCCCTCCCCTCCTTCTCTACCCCCTAGCAACAACCAATCATTTGTACCCCTTTGCCTTGGTGTTACTCCACCCTATATTTTTCTATAAAAATGTAATAGTAGGAGAGCACGGGCTCTTTTGCCCAAGCCACTGCGTCGGTATAAGCTGAGATCCTAGCTCGAGCTAGCTAATAAACTTTCCCTTTGCTTTTGCATTATCGTGTCAGTGGCAGCTTCCTCGCGCCGACATTCCTTTCAAGACCTGAGTCTAACATTTGGTGCGTTGGCCGGGAAAGGAAAAGTTCGGAACAAATGAAGTTGTCTGCAGTAGAGGAAAGTTCAGGGGCCGGCAGGACCAGATACATCCTTTGTGTAAGGATACTGGTCCATCAGGGAAGGTTGGGAAGTTCAGGAGCCAGCAAGATCGGATATGTCCTTTCTGTAAGGATACTGGTCTATCAGGAAAGGTTGGAAAACCAGCAGACGTGCCAGATTGGGTAACTGGAGGATGTGCCAGAGGAGTTGGGGAAGGAGACCTTCCCTAACCATCAGGCAGGCTGTGGGTGCTTTTTGGTAAGAGCAGCCCCCTTCAGGGGAGGGGCAGAGGGACCTCCAATCTGTGGTACTGGAAAAAGATCTCTTCTGGGTGTCGGATATTTGTGTTGTCTGCTTTGGTGTCTCTTGTTGTGTGGCCACTTGTCTTTTATTTGTTCTGTGTTTTCTCAAAAGAGGTCAAAATGGGATAGGGACAGACTACCCCTTTGTCCCTGATGGTTGAACATTTTTCAGAGTTTAAAACCAGAGGATCTAATTTGCCTGTGATAATTAAGAAAAATAAACTAATAACTTTTTGCTCTTCAGAATAGCCCTCTCTTAAGGTAGGATGGCCTTCGGAAGGCTCATTGGGTGGAAAGGTGATTGCAGCCGTATTCGACCAAGTCCAAGTGCCAGGCCCCCGTGGGCACCCAGGCCAATTTCCTTACATTTTAGTGTGGCAAGATATGGTGACCAACCTTCCCCCATGGCTGAAACCTTTTCTTCCAAATCTCTCTGTTAAGGTATTAACATCCTCACTCAGGACTAGCGAAAAGGAGAAACTGGGATGACCTGAGTCCCGAGCAACTGTTCCACTGGTTTTGTCTGATTCCCAAACTCACCCCGATCTGCTAGATCTAGAAAGTGGCATATCTCTACCTCCCTATGCCCCTGTACCACCTTCCCACCCTCTCCAGGCTCCACAAGTATCGGGAGGATGTGGAGCGAGTGCTCCAAGTGCACCACCCGCCATTACAGGCACAGCCTCTGGTCTCTGCCCATGCCAGAGGGGCTACCCGGAGGCTGAAGCCCCCTCGTCCACTGTCCAGGCTCTGCCCCTCAGAGCGATAGGCCCGCCTCGTGAGGACGGAAGCAGAACCTGGCAGTACTGGCTGTTTTCAACGTCAGACCTGTATAACTGGAAAGTGCAGAATGCCCCCTTTTCTGAAAACCCCCAAAGCTTAATTAATTTGTTAGATTCTATATTATTTACTCATAACCCCACTTGGGATGATTGTCAGCAGCTATTACAGGTTTTGTTCACCACTGAAGAAAAAGAGAGAATCTTGACCGAGGCCAGGAAAAATGCACCCGGGGACAATGGACAGCCGACAACGCTTCAGAATTTAATTGACGCTGGGTTCCCGTTATCGCGTCCCAGTTGGGATTTTGAGCAAACAAAAGGTAGGGAGCGTCTCCAAAAGTACCTCCAGATTCTAATGGCCGGTCTCTGAGCAGCGGCGGCAAGAAAGCTGACTAATTTGTCCAAGGTAAACTCAGTCAGGCAGGGGCTGACAGAGAGCCCTGCAGCATATCTAGAGAGGTTAATGGAAGCGTTTAGACTGTATACTCCTATAGACCCGCAAGCCGATGAGAGTAGAGCAGCAGTGGTCCTATCTTTTGTAAACCAAGCAGCCTCTGATATCAGAAGAAAGCTTCAGAAGATAGATAGATTAGGGGACCAGACCCTACAGGACTTAATGAAAGTATCAGAAAAGGTGTATAATACTAGAGAAACCCCAGAAGAAAGGGAGGAAAGAATACAGAGGGAGGAAAGAGAATTCCAAGCTAAAGAGAATAAACAAAATCAGAAGGAGTTAGCAAAGATTTTCTTTGCTGGA